CAGCTACTTGGGAGGCTGAGGCAAAAGAATCACTTAAGCCCAAGAGTTGGAGGTTGCTGTGAGCTGTGACACTGTGGCACTCTACCCAGGACAATAGTTTGAGACTCTGTCTGGAAAAAAAAGCAAATTACATCAAATGCAAACTTTACTTAATAATAACACAGTTTTACTGTATTATAAATGTAGTGTACAATTTTAGTTAAATGATAGTCAGTATACTTTACAACTTCACTACCATATTTCCTTAATTTCAAGTAGCACACATTAACACTTAAAACTGTTAGAGAGAACACAGGGGAGCTGCAGGAGTCATATACAGAGCGTTGGCTTACTGATGGCACAGTGCACCAAGTTCAGACTCTGATTTTTGTCAGGGGTAGGTTGCATGCTGGTTGATCAAGTTCCAGATAATGGGGAGTTTACAGTATAACTTTCAACTCCCCCCAAATTTTAATAATACTATACTGTCTCACTTATTTTATTTATTTATTTTTAGAGACAGTCTTGCTCTGTTGCCCAGGATGAAGTATAGTGACATGACTCCACCTTACTGCAACCATAACACCCAGGCTCAAGCAGTCCTGCCACCTAAGCTAAACATGCACACTACCATGTCCAGCTACTTTTCAAAAATTTTTTTGTGTAGACAGGGTCTTGTTATATTGCCCAGGCTGGTCTTGAACTCTTGGTCTTCAGAGAACTTCCTATCTGAGCCTCCCAAAGCACTGGGACTACAGGCGTAAGCTACTATGTCTGGCCTTATAGTATACTATTGACCAGAAAAGCCTTGCTGATATGATAAACAGTTGATGAACACATATCTTATATGTTACATGTATTATATACTGTATTTTTTTTTCTTTTTTTGAGACATAGTCTCACTCTGTCACCCTAAGTAGAATGCTGTGGCATCATAGCTCACGGGCTTATGTGATCCTCTTGCCTCAGCCTCCCGAGTAGCTGGGACTACAGGTGCCCACCACCAGGCCTGGCTAATTTTTCAATTTTTAGTAGAAATAGGGCTTCACTCTTGCTCAGGCTGTTCTCAAACCCTTGAGCTCAAGGGATCTTCCTGCCTTGGCCTCCCAGAGTGCTAGGATTACAAGTGTGAGCCACCACACTTGGCTTTTTATACTTATCTAACAATCAAGTGAGCCAGAGAAAAGAAACATTATTAAGAAACTTACAAGGAAGGGGAAATATGTTTATTGTCATTAAGTAGAAGTGAATCATCATAAATATCTCCTTACACTGGCCCTCTTCATTTTGAGTAGACTGAGGAGGTAGAGGAAAAGGAGAGGTTGGTCTTGCTGTCAAAGGCGGGTAGAGAAGGAGGAGATGAGGAGTTGGAGGAGGGAGAAGAGGCAGACACATTCAGTGTTACTAATCAGAAAAAATGTGCATATAAGCGGGCTTGCGCAGTTCAAAGCAATGTTGCTGAGGGGTCAGCTTCACTAATTATAAATAATTCTATTGGTCTGTTGTTGAAGAAAGTGAAAGAACTCAATCTCAGTTTCAAAATCTTTCATTTTTTTCTACTTACTATCTGTAATTATGCTCTGTGAATTTACACTTTATGATTAAAATATCATTTGCACCTAGAATTTAGTGACAGAACCAGTGTTAGGGAAAGGTAAGAATCAAGAATGACTCCCCAGATTTCTGGCAAAAACAGCTTGATAGATGGTGATGTCATTTGTCAAGCTGGGAGACATTTGAAATTCAGTAGACTTTGAGGATAACATCAATTTGGTTTTGAATGTTTAAGATATTAATGAGACATCAAAGTGGAGATATTAGCAAAGCAGTTAAATATTCAGGTTTGGAATCCAGAAGAGAGATAGGATCTGGAAATACAAATTAAGAATTACCAACATATTTTTACTATTTGAAAATGCAAGGACAGGGGCGGTGCCTGTGGTTCAAAGGAGTAGGTACCAGCCCCATATGCTGGAAGTGGTGGGTTCAAGCCCATCCCCGACCAAAAACTGTAAAAAAAAAAAAAGAAAAAAAGAAAATTCAAGGACAAAAGAAATTTCGTAGAAAGGGAAGTATGAGAAAAGGACCTTCTATGTGATGTGGAAGATGTGCCCACAAAGCAGTTGAGAAGCAACTAGAGGTCCTATGAAAGCCGGGAATATGTAAAATGAAAGCAAAGAAAATAAAGTATTTCTAGTAGAAGTATCTCAATTGCCTATAAGCATATGCATCAAAATAGCCTAATATAATTCTAGTAAGTGAAATGCTTTTAGGGAAGTTTTTATGTTTTGGTTCTCATCTGGTAAAATTATCTTCAAATTACACTAAACATATTTTTTATTCTTTGGATGTTTACAGGGGTATGAAGATTGGTTACGACATAACTCAGATAATGAAGTAAATGGAGCTCCAGTTTATGTTGTTCGGAGTGGTGGCCTTGTAAAAACTAGATCAAAAAATATTCGGGTATGCATCTAGTAAATAATAAAATCTTTTATATTTTGGTACCATAACACATAATTGTACTTTTGATTATGGTTTAATTAAAAACCTACTTTCCTACACTAAAATACTATGATAGACCACTTATTTATAACCTAATAAAAATAAGTCCTCAATTGCCTTTTAAAATCTGTATATTCACTTTTCTCCAAAATTCTTCATAGGTAGGTGATATTGTTCGAATAGCCAAAGATGAAATTTTTCCTGCAGATTTGGTGCTTCTGTCCTCAGATAGACCTGATGGTTCATGTCATGTTACAACTGCTAGTTTGGATGGAGAAACTAACCTGAAGGTTTGTTCATGCTTGTGTTTGAGAGTTGCTCTTGGTAAACAAAATAATCTTTGGGTTATAGTAATATTTTCCTTTGGTTAATGCAATAAAGTTTGACCTGATTAAGGAGAAATTATTTTAAATCACTGAAATTTTTTAAAACATTAAAGTTTAAAAATGAATTAATGTTATTATATATTGTTATTTATAAATATTTATTATAAACATTATAAATATAGAATTTTATATATTATAGGGTAGCCTCACATGGTTTAGTTAATTCAAGTTAAAAATAGATTGTAATTTTAGGAAAAATATAAACTTTTAATATTTTGGGTACCTTTAAAAATAAGGAACAGATTTACATTTTCTCAGTTTTCAGAGTATAATCAAGAGTGAATATTCACATTTTTTACTGTTAAATCGCTTATAAGCATAGACTTAATTTCCTTATATGCAAAAGACCTTTGTAGACAGGTAATCACACTAGCTCTCTTTGCTCCTTGTTTATTTTACATTTTTATTTCTCCTTTGTCTTGTCTAGCTGAATGATTTAAGTACAGTTTGCCATGATTTCATCTATAAAAGAGATTTAAATTACTTGATATCTAAGGTCCCATTTGGATCTTGAAACTGTGCAATTTAATTTGTTTTTTTCAGACACATGTGGCAGTTCCAGAAACAGCAGTATTACAAACAGTTGCCAATTTGGACACTCTCATAGCTGTGATAGAATGCCAGCAACCAGAAGCAGACTTGTACAGGTATGGTATGTTGTTCAGTATATTCATTTTAGGTCCTGCTTATAGACTTTGTGTATTATAACCATCAACATAAAATGAATCTTTAGCTAATTGGAGACATTATTTGTGGGGCAGATTTAAGGGGAAAAGAGCTGAAAGCAGAATTTGTCAGAGTTCCAAGCAAAAGCAGTGTTTTTATTCATAAGTTCCTTCATATCATCTATTTTGGTATTAACTGTGGGCTCACTTTGTAGCTTTATCAGTAGAAGTAATATTATTTCCTTAGAAGAAAATAATCGAATGTTTTTTTGGTAAGCTCCAATGAAGCAGGGGCTATGTGTTTGTGTTCACTGTTGTATTATTTAGAAGACACTACTTTTAAATTAGAACTTTATAATTTATATGACTTTCAATATTTCATTTGCTATGTGTACATAGCACATAATAAAGTAAAAAAAGTGATGTAAATATTCTTAACAGCTATGAGTTTCTCAAGAATAGAGACTGTTCTTGTTCATCTTATTTATTACCTATCACAAAGTACAAAATTGAATATTTTTATTTTATTAGATTTTTTAAAATTTTTATTTCAGAATATTATGGATATACATAAATTGCTTTTGTACTGATTGGGTTATATGTGTGCCCGTCACCAAGATAGTGTACATTATACGTATTAGATATGAATATACAGTTCCTCATCTCCTTCCTCCTACCCACTTGATTTTTAGTGAATGTTATTTCCCTATGTGCACATTAAGTATCGATCAGTCAGTTCCAATTTTTTTTCTCTTTTATTTTTTGAGACAGAGTTTATCTCTGTTGCCCTGGTGTTGAGTGCTGTATTATCCTCATAGTTCACAGCAACCTTAAACTCAGACTCAAGCTATCCTTATGCTCAGCTTTCTGAGTAGCTGGAACTAAAGGTACCCCCAACCATGCCTGGCTAATTTTTCCATTTTTAGTAGACACAGGGTCTCAATCTTGCTCAGGCTGGTTTTGAACTTCTGAGCTTAAGCAATCTTTCCACCTTGGCCTCCCAGAATGCTAGGTACAGGCATGAGCCACCCCTCCTAGCCTGATTAGTTTTATTTTAACAGTGAGTATGTGTGGTGTTTGGTTTTCCATGCTTATGATAATTCATTTAGAAGAATGATCTCCAGTTCCATCTGGCTTAATACAAGAGGTATTGTAGCTCGGCACTTGTAGCTCAAGTGGCTAAGGCACCAGCCACATACACCAGAGCTGGTGGATTCGATGGTATTATCTCCTTTTAAAAAGTTTCTGTCCATGCCTTTTGCTTGCTGATTTACTTGAGTTCCTTGATTCTGGGTATCAGCTCTTTATTGGATGTATAGCATATAAATATTTTCTCCCATTCTGTAGGTTGGTTGTTCACTCTATTAGATTGTTTCCTTGGCTATGCAGAAGTATTTTAACTTGATCAAGTTCCACTTATTTATTTTTGTTGTTTCTATGATGGGTTATTAGATTTTTAAAGATCTTGTTTCTGAAAGGAGGGAAAGGGACTAACTTCTTTTAACATCACAGTTTATTAAATACAGTCTTAGTCATCCTTCAGTGTCTTACTGATTATTAGAAGGCTATGTAATGGAAATGACTTTTTATTATTAAAGACTTACATGAGAAAGTAAGTTCATTTCTATTTAATAACCGGTGATAGATTATAAATTGCGACCACATTATAAAAATCACCCTCAGCTTCTTATCATATTGTGTATCTTCCCCTGTCACTTGAAATGTTTCAAAATCTTGTCTAGTCATAGGCTTTTTCTAATCTCTTACATATTTTTGTTTGTATCTATATCATTATATTGGAGGTTTTCTCTATGTAATGTTATAAAAATCATGTATTTTCATCAAAGTCAAATGCAGTATAGGATTTTCCAAGCAACTAAAAACATTTGGAATCATATGCTTTAAGAGCATTTAAAATATAAGATGGGCGGCGCCTGTGGCTCAGGGAGTAGAGTGCCGGCCCCATATACTGGGGGTGGCAGGTTCAAGCCTGGCCCTGGCCAAAACTGCAAAAAAATTAAAAAAAAGCATAAGATACATTTAACTCTGACTAATAAAGTACTTTATGATTTCTATATTGCTGTTTTGTCCTGGTCTCAGGTGATGGAGAATTATAAAAAATTATTAAAAACCAGAAAAAGACACAGAATTAAGCAAGCATAAGATTAATATGAAGTAAAATATGATCAGTGCTTTGGTCTGTGTTTCTTAAATTATGTTGGAATTTGGAGAGAAAGCTAAAAAAAAAAACCCCACCAAACTTTTTCCAAATAAATAATCTCTCTCTCTCTTACTGGAAGTATATATTTTCTTTTAAATATAAATGTAACATCATCATTACAGCAGGCTTTTATAATGGAAAATAATTCAAAATGAATTTTGCCTGCACCTAAAATTTTTTGATTGCTGTTATTGTTTATTCATTCATTTAACAAAATTTCACCTATTACAATGAGCACTTAAATACTCAAAATTCTATTAAGAAGACAGAATTAAAATTAATACTTCTCCCTGAAATGAAGAACTGAAGGAAGTAGAAGAGATTAGCAACAAACAACGAACCCAGAATCTCCAGGGATAAGAATCTGTGAGCTGGAAATAAGAGGATAATAGGGAACATTTGGAAGGGAATGCTTAACCTGTCTTTGCCTCAAGATTAACATCTGTCTAGAATTTACTTTAATTTGGAATTTACTTCCTACCATACTGGAGAGTAATTGCACATTTGAATTAACTCTGTGCTGTGAAGTTGTTGTGGTAGTAGACATTGGAACAGAAAAGCCAGGTTTTGAAAATCTGTTATGAAAACAGGCCATTCACTGTAGATTTAGGGCAACCAAAAATGCAAATATCACTATCAGGTTAAAGGAGCTATGCAGTTCACTGACAGGTTTTTGCTTACTACTCTATCCACACCACTTAACTCATACATGGCAGTTGCTCAGTCAATTATTTGTTGAATAAATAAGTGAATAACTGAATAAGTAGATGAATGATTGGGTTGCAATGATCTATAGGTCACAGAGGGCCTCATTTAGTAAACTATAATGAAATATATGAACATTCATTATAGGCTAAATAATGCATACATCTTTGTGTAGTAATTATAAATTCTCATGATAACTAAATGAAAAATAGTAATAATGCATAACAGCTACATTGCCATTTTGAAAACTTTTAAAATTTTTTTTATTAAATCAAAGCTGTGTATATTAATGCAGTCATGGGGTACAGTGTGCTGGTTTTATATACAATTTGAAATATTTTCACCAAACTGGTTAACATAGCCTTCATGGCATTTTCTTAGTTATTGTGTTAAGACATTTATATTCTGCATTTAGAAAGATTCACATGTACCCTTGAAAACATTTTTTATTTATTATCTCGCTTGTAGCTGCTGTAGAAATGGCAATTATTTTAAAATTTTCAAAGCTAAAAGACTTAAGTATTTTTATGATTTCTATCATGAACATTGGACCATTTGTGTATATATAAAGGGTTGACTTTGTTTCATGTATGAGAATAGTGCTAAAACTATGTAAAATGTTCCACCAATTGATGTCATAAGTAATATAACACATATTTTTGTTATATGGTGATATTTTTTAATAGATTCATGGGACGAATGATAATAACTCACCGAATGGAAGAAATTGTAAGGTAAGAGTAAATTCACGTTATTTAATTACTTTTAAGTGGGAACTATTTAGGGGAAGGACTAGAGTTTAAAGGGAGATTAGGTGAATAAACAGTATATTATGGGAATGGGTTAACTTGTAATGAAAAGCAGTTGGCATTTCACCTGCTAGTAATTTGTAGCAGTAGCAAGTGAGGATGAAGCAAATTCAAAGAAATGATACCAAAATAAAATTTAGTAAGATTATATTTCTTTTTCTCATAATGTTAGGTAATAACATTAAAAGAAAACATAGCTACTTTTTATTTATATTCTTACACTTTTAAACCCACAAGACTTAAAAGGAAGAATTCTTTTTTTTTTTCTTTAACAGAGTGTCACTCTGTCACCTTGGGTAGAATGCCACGGTCAGAAGGTAGAATATGAAAAATAGTTTATATAATGTTTAACAAGTATAAATGCTATGTTCAGGCCAAGTGCAGTGCCTCACATCTGTAATCCTAGCACTCTGGGAGGCCAAGGCTGGAGGATCCCTTGAGCTCAAGAGTTTGAGACCAGCCTGAGCAAGAGTGAAACCCTGTTTCAGGTAAAAATAGAAAAATTAGTCAAGTGTTGTGATGGGCACTTGCAGTCTCAGCTACTCAGGGGACTGAGGTAGGAGGATCGCTTGAACCCAGGAGTTTTAGGTTGCCGAAGTAGGTTGACTCCATGGCACCCTAGCCTGGGCAACAGAGTGAGACTCTCTCTCATAATGAATAAATAGGTGAATAAATGCTATGGTCTTCTTTACTTAAGAATCATTCAGTGCAAGCTAGATTATTAATGGCTGATCCAAAACTGCTTACTTAACTCTTCTGATTAGTTTATTATTTGGTTGGCTATTTCATTTTGTTTATTCTCAAGTATTCAGGTTAATTTCTAGTGCCTTAGTTTAGATCAGTTAAAAGATTGACTGATAGGATGAGATTACATTCTTATTCATGACTGTAAGCCAGATTTATAATCAGTCTTAGAATTAGCACTTGAATTTGTAATCAAATTTAACATTCTACTTCTTTTCTTGGGACATAGTCAATTTATACCAGCTGCATGAAATAAATCACTAACCAAGAGTTGAGTGTTTTTCAATAAAATCCTTAAGACAAGCCAAGAAAAGTATCATGCATTAGCACTGATTCACATTTTTAATAAGCATTGACATAGGAGCATGTTCAATAAACTGGGTAACAAGATCTTTTATGTGTAGGAAAAGATACCCCTGCTGAATAACTGTGACTAAGTTTATTTTGATTTCTGTAGTGAAATAGTGAGAAATGTGTAGATACATAGGCTGAATTGCATTGAGGTATTGTGGCTTGTCAAGAAAAATAGCAATTATGTTACTTCAGCTCCTGGGGTGGTTAAAAAATGAACTATGTTCTTCACTGAAGCAACCTGAATGAATTGATGAATTTTCTTTCATTTATTTATTTTGTTGTTCTTTTTGTTTTTTATGGGGTTGCCAACTTTTTATTTTGCCAAGTTAGGAAATTAACTAAACAACCACAGCTGCAACAACAATCATCTACCCTAATTAATTTTGTAAAAGAAAGGACATTTAGAAATAACATTTTAAAGTATTAAAATAAATAATAATTTAAAAGTTACTTGGCATATATATGTATTTGATTGTATATCACATATAATATACATATTTTACATAAGATAGAAAGTATTCTGTATACATATATATATATATATATAATTTCCACTCGCGTATGTGTTTTCTCATTTCACTGAACACCATTGAAAACCTTTGCCTGCTCCTAAACTGCAGTCCACTGAGAGGTGACAGCAGTCCGGAAAGAAAGGAAGTTCTGTGTGGAGGATACATAAGGACCCTTGAACTCAGTCAATATAGAAGATGGCTTATTAGGCCCAACACTCATGAGGATGTGCAAGGTTGAGGATGGTGGAGTTAGGGCTCTTTATCTTTAATGCTCATATATCAGTATGAAAGTCCTTAAGTTACCAGCATTTTTTTCTTTTAGTTAATTTTTACTAATTCATAACTGCATACATTTATGGGGTTCAGTGTGATGATTTGATATGCAGTGTAGAATGCTTAAATCAAACTAGTATAACCATCACCTCACTTATTTTTATGGGAAGACATTTATAATATACTCTTAGTTGTTTTGAAATGCACTCTTATGTTACCAGAATTTTAAAGACTGTGTTTTATCTGGTTGCCTAATACACTAGTATGGCGGTTCTCAACCTGTGGGTGGCGACCTATAGGAACTGTCTTAAAGGGCTGTGGCATTAAGAAGGTTGAGAATCACTACACTAGTAGAAACCATTCAAAAATAGGTGGGGTTGAAGATTAATTTTATAATACGAAGTTCTCTTACCTAGATACTACATTTTGCCAGATGTGACTAGACATGCTATATAATATTTTTAATTTTCATAACCATATGCTTATTATGAGTCAATGCCCAGACATGTACACGTGCATATATAAATTGTCTAGGTCAGCAAAAGAGCTTATTAACATATTTTTCTGAGCAAAACCTACTGAATGTCTGAACTCACAGGGGGCATTCATTTTGTATTCCCCAAAGACTTTTCCATTCATCTGATAAATTATCATTTAATCTAAATCTGTCTTCATATACCAGTGAGCACAGAGTATTTCTGCATTTTATTAGAAGCAACATCAAGTGAAAAAGAGCTATTTTATAACTCATGAATAGTTTTCACATTGATTTTGGAATGTCAGTGGAGTACACTCCAAACAAGACTGCCTAGTAGAAACTATACTTGTTAACCACATTCCAGACCTCTGGTCTTCCTTGGTTCATTGCCATTTGGGGGAGGGGGCAGCATTTGGGGTTTATAGATATCTTCATGAATGGTTCAGATTCTGTTTGGTTTAGATAACTCTCTCTCTCTATTTATATATGTATGTATGTATTTCAGAAAAGCATAAAGAATATAAAACAATAAAGGCTTTTTAATTTATCCATAGCAAATTCTTACCATTTTGCTAATCACTAAGAGGATACAATTTCCTTTCTAGTTATTCCTTGTCGTTTTTTATCTCCTTTATGGAGAGAAATTCAAACAGCAAGAAGACCTGTGCTCCAGGAAGTATGCAATGCAAGTAGTCAAGTTATACTATGTAATCTTGCCTAGAAAAAATACTAACATACTTTCTCCATTATGTTTTATAATCCAGTATAATTTTAATTGTGCGTAGCTCATGCATTTAAACAAAAAATCACAGTACAATTTATGTTTACATTGCATTTTATTTCTGTATCTTTTCAAAGCTGTTTATTAATTTTGCTCAAAAATTTTATATATCATCTTCTGCTAAACATTTTAAAATCAGTAATCTTTGATTTTGCTGAATTTATGTTTAAAAAATGTTTGATACTAGTGGCTTTGTGAGTTTATTTACATGCATAATTTTACATATGAGCCACTAATCTTAAAGTTACTGAAACTAAAGCAGGTGTTTGTTGTTACAGTAACTAACATAATTGGTGTAGGCAGCTTTATAATATATGCTGGGATTTGGTTTTCTATGAAATCAGTATTGTAGCAATAGCTTAAGTATCTCCTGCTGAAGATGCCATTTAGAACTCAATTACAGTTTTAATTATTCATTGTTTTGGGTTATTTTCTTTTTTTCCTAGACCTCTGGGGCCAGAGAGTCTTTTGCTTCGTGGAGCCAGATTAAAAAACACAAAAGAAATTTTTGGTTTGTACATATTTAAACATTTGAAATAATCGATTTGTGTTGGTGCTTTATATGAAGTATTTTAAAAAGCATAACATTTATGGTGTTTTGATTGGCTAATTTATTAATTGAATTTTTATGATAATTTTCATATAAAGATTGTATTAATATAGTTTTGTAGAGTTTTTTGTTGCTGCTGTTGATCCACGTTTTTGAGTAATAGAACTTTGTTCTTATATTGTCTTTCTGTGAATACTTGTGAAACTGAATGCTAATAAGATAATTCTGACACTTGTAGTAATGGTGGATGGGAACTAATACAATCTGGCATCATGGTGTGGTAAACTACTTCTGCAATTCCTTTATGATTTTATTCTTAGATTAAATTAATAAATGCTGACTTAGTCATTCATACATTTACTCATTCAACAAATTCTTACTGACTCCAAGTTATCTACATTATTGGAGCATATACTAACTGGATCAATAGATTGAATAAATACTGCCCTTGCCTTGGAGATCTAAATTAATTTAGTATACTTTGAGTCAACTCTAGGAAAACTGTGAAGTTCGTAATAACCTTTAGCTGTCAACTAGTTCCTCCCATTTTAGGAGTGGCCCTTAGTATCCTGGCCTGCTATATTACCCAGTGGCTGTCTATAGCTTTTAAGGTCCTCTTTTTCATTCTCTTTTTTCCTGTTACTTCTCTCACTTTTTTATTTTTTATTATTATTTTTTTGAGACAAAATATCACTATGTTGCCCCTTAGTAGAGTGCTGTGGCGTCACAGCTCACAGCAACATCAAACTCTTGGACTTAACCACTTTTCTTGCTTCAGCCTCCCAAGTAGCTGGGACTATAGGCACCCGCCACAACACCTGGCTATTTCTTTGTTGCAGTTGTTAATGTTGTTTAGCAGGCCAAGGCTGGGTTTGAATCTGCCAGCCCCACTGTTAGGCTGACACCGTAACCCCTGAGCTAACCCGGCAGCCCTGGCACACTTCCCCACACACAGTTTCAACTGGCATTCCTCCACACGTGAGTACACATTGAGACATCTGTACGTGCTAGTTAACCTTTGTGAGAAACCTTATCCACTTCACTTCTCTCACTTTTAGACTCTCTAATAAAGATATTTGAGATTGTCAAATAAAGATAAATAAATAAAGATACTCAAGATTATCAAGAAAAAAATGTGGTTGAGCATTTAGAGAAATTAAAACCAAACCCTTGTATGTTGCTGATGGGTATGTGAAGTATTGTGGCTGCTGGGGAAAATAGTTTGCAGTTCTTTAATAAGTTAAATGTAGAATTATCATGACTCAGAAATGCTACTCTAGATATATACCCAAAAGAACTGAAAAAAGGTGTTTAAATCAAAACTTGTGCAAAAAGGTTCATAGAAACACTGTTTATAATAACCAAAGGCTGGAAACAGCTCAAATGTTCCTCAGCTGATGAATGGATAAACAAAATGGGGGTATATTCATATAATGGAATCTTATTCAGCCATAAAAAGGAATGAAGTGCTAATCCATTCTACACACGATGAACCTCAAAAATATGTTGAGTAAAAGAAGCCAGACACAAAAGGCCATATATTATGTGACTCCATTTACTTGGAATACTCAGGCAAATCCATAGAGACAGAAAGCAGTTTAGTGGTTCCTAAACCTAAGGCCTCGGGAGTAGAGGAGAATGGGGAATGATCGCTCATGGACACAGCATTTTCTTTGGGTGTAATGAAAATACTATCTACTTAAGAGAATAGGATGGCTGCACAAAATATGAATGTACTAAGTGCCATGGAATTAGTTTAAATGACATCTTAAAGTGCCACTGAAAATGATAAGTTACATATTATGTGTATCTTACCACAATTTAAAAACTCCATAGTTATGTTTTTTAATGGCTGAAGTCACAGTAAACCCTTAGGGGTTTTAGACATTTTCGTGTAATACCATATTTTAATACATCTTTCTAGCAGTAACTCCTTTACTCTTGCATACCTTAAAGCAGGTATCCAACTTTTTGTACACTCTGTAGTGGAATGTCTTTAAATGGGTATGTCTTCTATTAATTTCCCCAGCACCACAACCTCCTGTGTCATTCTGGCTGTTTTCTCACATTCCTGTTAATATAATCACAGTGCTCTTTGTTGTTTGAGTTGTAACCCCTGCCTTTCAGGAATAATTCTAATGATAAGAATTAAAGGACAAAGCTTTAGGAGGAGGGCATAATGTGCCTTATGGTGGTTTTTAAATCTTAGTATTGAGGGATAGGAATGAGCATTTATTGATTATCTGTCCATTTCAAGGCATTTTGCTAATTTTTCATATAGATCTCAAAACAACTCTGTGGTATTTTTTCTCATTTAAAGATGGGAAAATTGAGACTCAGACAAATTACTTACCCAAGTTAATAAGTGGCAGAGGTAGTATTCAAACCAAAGTCTAACTACAAACTTTTTGTAATTTCATTTATTCCCTAGTTTTACTCCCACTGCTTCCATTATTCTCACTCATCTCAGAGTTGTTCACATAGGAACAGATTTTTAAACAGTATTCCCCCTGTGTTTCTTGACTGACTCTGCCAGACTTCCATATTATCTATCCAGTGCTTATGTAGTGATGGCTAGACTCCAGACTCTGATATTCAGGGCCTTTCTCACCCTGGCCCCAATCCATTGTTGCACCCTAACAGAAAGTGTGTTTCCATTTCCATTTCTGTCTTTGTTAATACTGTTTGCTCTATAATGGCCTTTCCTGCCATCTTCATCTCTCCAAATTCGTTTCCTTCATCAATTCCAACTCAATATCTCTTCATTCACTTAATCTGTTGTAACTCAGAAACGAAACCCCCTAAAAAGTTCCCCTCGTTGAGCAGGTTGAGTGACCCCAAAACTGGACTTAGAAAGCCTTTTGAAATTCTGAAAAGACTTAAAAGAAGACAAAATTATAACTATGATATAATACACTTTTGTAGGAGCTTTTGTGCTAGTGAGTATATTTATTTCTTGTGAAGCACACAAAAGGATTCTTTTAAACCAGCGTTTTGTTTTGCAGGTGTTGCTGTTTACACTGGAATGGAAACCAAGATGGCATTAAATTATAAGAGCAAATCACAAAAACGATCTGCAGTAGAAAAGTAAGAAAACTGTCTATTTTCATTTATTTAAATATAATGATAACTATAAATTATATGTGTATAAAATATTATGTGTATAAAAATGTGTATCAGGTCAAGTAAGCAAAATGATATTTAGGTAGAGATTTTTTTGCATATTTTTAAGTACAGGCAGCATTTTTGTAGTATTTGGCATACAGTAGGTTCTAAAGTATGACTTTAGAAGTAAATACTGTTGAGTAAACAAAGGAATCACTTGATTAGACTAATACTCTGCAGGTAACAATTATAAAACTGAAAGAAAAATTTTAAAAAATGAACAATTTGAAAGCACTGGAGAATAACCAGAAGCATATAGGAGCTGGCAAGAAGTGTGTCCCCAGAGATGCTAGCAATAAGGTTTAAGAGTACAGGTTTTTGACTGAAGTCACTCCCTAATTTTTGTGCTACTTGGGGCATCAAGAAATCTGAGTTTTACTGGATTGGATTATCCAGGGATGAGGTTTAAAGCTTGAAGAGCAGCTAGAAAGTTGGGGAGAATATGTAAGGAAAGAAGCAAAAGAGGGAAATTAACTCCCAAACTTGTACTTATTCTCTACCCAAATCTTTGGCTGACTAGTAGAACTGTGCGAACCATGGGTGTACAAGAGACACCCCAATCCGGCTTGACAAAAACAGTAACAGAAAGCTAAATGAATTCAACAGAGAATTTTGCTCTTGCCCATTGCATTGGAGACAGAGTTTAGTGTTTGGGCTCTGCCAAGTTAACTGCCTCCTGGAACATCAGCACCCTTCTGGGGAACATAATGGAATACAGATTGTCTGTAATATGCAATAAAAAGTAAGCAGACATGAACAAGTTATAACTCAAGAGAAAAAGTACTCCATAGAAACTATCTCCCAAATGATCTACATTGATCTTGCAATTAGCAGACACAAATTTTAAGTAGGTTTAAAGGCCTAAAGGAAAAATTTAAATGAACATATTGGAAAACTCAGCAGAGAAGTGGAAACTGAAAACGAGCCTAGGCTGGGTACAGTGGCTCACGCCTGTAATCCTAGCACTCTGGAATGCTGAGGCGGATGGATTACCTGAGCTCACAAGTTTGAGACTAGCGTGAGCCACAGCAAGACCTCATCTCTAAAAATAGCTGGGCATTGGGTGGCGTCTGTGCCTCAAGGAGTAGGGCCCCAGCCCCATATACTGGGGGTGGCAGGTTCAAACCTGGCCCTGGCCAAAACTGCAGAAAAAAATAGAAAAAGAGTTGTGGTAGGCACCTGTAGTCCCAGCTACTTGGGAGGCTGAGGCAAGAGAATTGCTTAAGCCCAAGAGAGTGAGGTTGCTGCAAGCTGTGATGCCATAGCACTCTATTAGGGTGACAAAATGAGACTGTGTCTCATTGGATGTGTGTCTCAATGGAAGGCCATCAGAAGTTGAAAACAACCAGTTGAGAGCAGTCATTGAAGCTCATCCTCTGACAGCTACATAAGAAGTTGCTGAAGAACTCAGCATCAACCATTTATGGTCATTGGGTATTTGGAGCCAATTGAAGAGGTGAGAAAGCTTGCTAAGTGCGTGCCTCATGAGTTGACCGAAAATCAGAGCAATTGTTCTCAAGTGTTGTCTTTTTCTATACAACAACAAGGAACCATTTCTTGAACACATTGTGATGTGCTACGGAAAGTGGATTTTATACAAAGACCTGTGATGACCAGCTCAGTAGATGGAATGACACAGACCTCCAAAGTACTTCCCAAAGCCAAACTTGCACTATGAAAAGGTCATGGTCACTGTTTGGTGGCCTGCTGCCAGTCTGATTCATTATAGCTTTTTAAATCCCAGCAAGACCATTACATGTGAGAAGTCTGCACAGCAAGTTGATGAAAGGCACCAAAAACCGCAATGTCTACAGAAGGCCTTGGTCAGCAAAAAGGGCCTGATTCTTCATGACAATGGCCAACTACATGCCACATGACCAATGCTTCAACAGTTGAACAAATCGGGCTATGAAGTTTTGCCTCATCTGCTGTATTCGCCTGACCTCTGCCATTCTTCAAGTGTCTCAACAACTTTTTGCAGGGAAAATGCTTCTACAACCAGCAGGATGCAGAAAATGCTTTCTAAGAGTTCATCAAATCTTGAAGTATTGATTTTTATGCTAAAGGAAGAAATTCTTGTTGGCAGCAATGTGTTGATTGTGATGGGTCCTATTTTGATTAATAAAGATGTATTTAAGCTTGGTCATAATGATTTAATATTCATGGTCTAAAACTGCAGTTACTTTTATATCAACCTAATATCACCATCATCATCATCAGCTCAGTTTTGAAGTTTTATTTGTGAGCTAACTTTGACTAAATTTTGTGTGAGAAAACTCAATCTGGAAATACTGAATTAATTTTTTTCTTTTTTGAGACAAGAGTCTCAAGCTGTTGCCCTGGATATAGTGCTGTGGCATCACAGCTCATAGCAACCTCAAACTCTTGGGCTTAAGCAATTCTTTAGCCTCAGCCTCCCAACTAGCCGGGATTACAGGCACCTGCCACAACGCCCAAATGTTTTTTGTTGTTGTTGTTCTAGTTGTCATTGTTGTTTGGCGGGCCGAGCTGGATTCGAACCCTCCAGCTCTGGTGTATGTAGCCTGCACCCCAGCCAGTTGAGCTACAGGCACCAAGCCAATACTGAATTTTATTGTGTGATCTATTGTTGTGTTAGGTTTTCTGAAATACATTTCCTTCTTCTTTTGAAGTTTTTAGTCAAGTAGGAAATTAAAAGTAATACCCAATGAAAAATTAGATAATAATGTGGCACTAGTTTGAAAATTAAATTGGGGAAAGTTGAATATAAAGTAGTATGGAATTTAGGAAGGAGATGGTTTTTTAGTTAAACAGCAAAAAATAGGTTAAATAATATAGGTAAAAAAAGGGTAGTGTATCTGATGAGGAAAGTAATGAGCAAAGACAGAAAGATGGAAATAAACTAAGCATTACAGTTATATTATCACAAGGAGACATGAAAAAGGTCAGAATTTTGAATCAGACAGATGTATATTTAAATTTCAGATCCCCTACTTATTAGCTGTGTTTCCTTGGATGAGTCATTTCATTTCCTTCATTCCAGTGTTCTCATCTGTAAAAATGTGAGCCATGTTGTATGTGAAGTATCGAACATTGTGCCTAACACACAATAACCAAACCAAAAGTCTTTCTTGTGTGCATTATTCTCCACCTGCTTGTAACAATGTAGAGTTTATGTTGGAGGATAGAGGATATGAACTTATTGCGTAATTAAGATAAGGCTAAATTATAGAATGCCTCAGAATTCAGGCATTTTTTTTTTTTTTTATCTTTCTTGAGTTTTTACAAAGCCTGTGACCCATATTCTTCCTCAGTACTGGGGATTCATGTTTATTTTGTGTAGATTTGAAGTTTTGAATTATAAAACATTTAATTGCATTAATAATTTATGTTTTCAAACTTAAAATCAAAGTTGTGATGAGAAGAAAGGTTCTGAAGTCAATTCCTATCATGTGATTTTAAGAAATTTATACAGTGATTTTTTTTTTTTTTTTTTTT